AACAAAATCGCTCCACTACTTTTCGAGTTATAGTAAAATACGTTAAAATGGCGGCCATTTTTCAAAATTTTAACGTATTTTACTATAACTCGAAAAGTAGTGGAGCGATTTTGTTCTACCAAAAGTGTCATAGGACAGTGTGCCATGCTTATAGTATTCACATTACAAATATGAACAAAATCACTCCACTACTTTTCGAGTTACAGTAAAATATGTTAAATTGGCGGCCATTTTCCAAAATGGCCGCCTTCTACCAAAAGTGTCTTTAGACAGTGTGCAATGCTTATAGTATTCACATACCAAATATGAACAAAATCGCTCCACTATTTTTTGAGTTATAGCAAAAATCGTAAAATGACGAGTAAAGGCCGCCATTTTTCAAGATGGCTGCCATGTGCTTCTTTAATATCTACATTTGTAGCATTATTAATGTCCTTTATATTTTTTTTACATTTAAAACATATTGCTATAACAGTTTTACATATTACACCTAAATTACTGTAAAATCGGCACTAAAATGGCCACCATTTTGAAATGAGCAGCTATTTTGAAAATCGGCTTTCGATCAGAACTTCTACCCCCATAGGGTATATGTGTACAAAATATGAACAAAATCGGGCCAACGGTATTTGAGTTATTGCCCGGACGGACGGATGGACAGACGGACGTACGTACGGACGGACGTACGTACGTACGGACGGACGTACGGACGGACGGACGGATGGAGGCGTTCCCTATATCCCTCCGAACTTCGTTCGATGGGATAAATATGGTACATTTTGAAAGTATGACACTCCGGTGCCATTTTCAATAGCTTTTCCTCCTAGCGTTATGGGACTTCTTCAAACAGAAGCGAAAGTTACCTGCAATTAAATCCCACTTGGGTAGCAACACAATAGAATTTGCTGTGGTTTATTTTTAAGAATGTATGGTTTTATCAAAAGGAAAGTGCATTATTTTTCTATTGTTTTTAAAGAATGTACACTTGGCAAGCTATCAAAAAAAAGTGAGACATAAATGACCATTGACAGTTTTTGATAGTTTTCATTCCCTAAAAACAATATACAAAATTACATGTACCCTTCTCTTGTTACTGTGCATTCTTTAGAATAAAACAATTTATCAATTTTTGTTGCTATCTACATCATTGATCTTATCTTACTTACAAATATTCTGCTATATTCAAATGCAATGTTCTGGACTGGACAGTCACCTGTAGTGCACTGAAGCTAGACTAATTATAGCCCACTCAGTCACTTACATCAACTCACACTCATGAGGTCAATGCAACCAACTCTTTTTGTTGTTACAATTAATTGGCTATATAACTACATGAACAGTCAACTCAAAAGAACTCACTCACTTACATGTATCAAACTATCATTGACCATTTACCTGCAATATACCATTTACCTGTAATAAGAATGTGTGTGATTTAAGTAAGATAAAGCATTCGAATTCGATTTGATAAGAAATAATAACCTCAGGCCTTCGGTGTATTATTTCTTATAAAATCTCATTCTTATGCTTTATCCAGTACTTAAAACCCGCTGAAGGTAGTACACAATAGACCAAACAGTTGATTATTTTTCACGAATCTACAGCTACAGGGGGTCTGCGAGGATTGCAATCAGGAAACAAAAGCAAATCTTTTGTTTAGTGAGTGCAATCACAGTGGACCCCCTGCAACTGTGGATTCTTAAAAAAAGAATCCACACTTTACGCCAACAACTGTATGCTGAAAGGGGCAAATATGTTTTCTCTAACTTAAAACCCATACACTGTCACCTATGCAAGCTAAACGGTAATCTTTAGTAACCTACACGCTTTAGTTATAGCCAATTTTCAGTTGATTTTATTTTCAGTTGACCTTGCATAGCTAAAACAAAGAATAAATATTTAGCAAAAAAATCCATCTGGCAATATTACTCTCAGAATGTGCACTCTTGATTCTTCGAGCAACAGTCAAAGAAAACAGTTATATTCATACCTTTTTTTGCCTTTCTTGTCGATATCCATATCAGATACAGGTTTTCCAAATCTAGTGTTAGAATTGGAGGAATATCCAGGCTCTGATATGTCGGATGTTTCGACACTGTACCGTAAATCCAATGTGCCAATTTCACTACTATCTATTTCATATTTATTTACTCCTCCTAGACTATATCCTATTTAGTCTGAATTATATTCAGACTGACTTCTAGTCAGTCTGTTGGATACATACTATTACTCCTCCTATATACTCGGGGTGGAAGGTGTGAGAATTGTGCAAAAAATGACTTTGTGAGCTGGATGGAGTTTCTCTGTATTTTTCATTCTATTAGGGTTTCCTGCATAAGGGATTTCGCCTGCGAAGCATATAACTCTTGCGAACATATCTAAATATTGGTCCGAGGAAGACATACCTTGAATTTTTTAGAAAAAAATTGGCTAAAAATGGAAACTACAAAAAGTCAAAATGTTCAACTCAAACAAAACTCTAGCTATTTAATATTAACACTATGTATTATTTAATGTTTTTCAGATGTTTAAGGACCTTCATTAGTGTACTAGTGTCTAGAAATAAGATAATTAAGGACAAAATTTGGCATTTTTGATCATTTTCGCTTTCAGCAGTAACATATAGTTCCTTATATCTTGAGTTTAATGTTGACTGGTTGTTGCAATTTTGATTAAATCTGTACTTGTACATGTCTTCTTCCATTTAAGATACAAAAAATGTATATTGGACCACCAATGGTCATATTAGAGCTTTCAGATCTCCCCTACCCCATTTATTATGAAAAATTACTGAAACATATGAAAATATAAAATAACTTGAATTTATAATCTTTAACAATGTTGTAGCTATTCTATATCAATATTATGTATTATTTAATGTTTTTCAGATATTTCAGAACCTTTATTGGTATACTAGTGCCTAGAAATGAGACATTTAAGGACAAAACTTGGCATTTTTTAAAATCATTTTAGCTTTCAGCAGTAACATATAGTTCCTCATATATTGAGTTTTATGCTTACTGGTTGTTGCAATTGTAATAAAATCTGTTTTTGTAGATGTCTTCTTCCATTTAAGGTATAGAAAATGTATAGTGGACCACCAATGGTTATATTAGAGCTTTCAGATCTCCCTTACCCCATTTATCATGAAAAATATAAGAAAAATATGAAAATATAAAATAACTTGAAACTATAAACTTTAATAAAGTTGTAGCTATTCTATATCAATATTATGTGTTATTTAATGTTTTTAAGATATTTCAGAACCTTTATTGGTAAACTAGTGCCTAGAAATGAGACATTTAAGGACAAAACATGGCTTTCTTGACCATTTTCGCTTTCAGCAATACCATATAGGTCCTTATATCTTGAGTTTAATGCTGACTGGTTGGTGCATTCTTAGTCAAATTTGTTCTTGTACATGTCTTCTTCCATTTAGGATATAGAAAATATATATTGGACAACCAATGTTGATATTATAGCTTTCATGTCTCCCCTGCCCCATTTATGTAAATGAAAAAGTAATTTCAAATCATCAACTTTAACAAAATTGTAGCTATTCTCTATCGATACTATGTATTATTTAATGTAACCTTCATTTGATTACATGTGTCTAAAATTTGGCATTTTTAGCATTCTGCATTTAGCAGTAGCATATAATTTTCCACAATTATAATTCTTTGATGATAGATTCATATATGTTTTTTATTGAATCTGTCTTCTCTGATTTAACTTAAAGAAAATGTATGTAAGACAACGAATGTTTTTATTAGAGGTCTAAGATCTGCCCTCCACCATTAAATGAGAAAACCAACACAAATGTTATTATTGCATGATAATATTCTTTAACTTTTCAAAAGTTTAGCATATTTATTAGCACACTAAAATCAAAAAATGACACATAAATGGGCAAAATGACCAATGTTTCACTTTCAGCAATAGTTGTTTATATTTTTAGTTAAATGGTGATTAGTTGACATATTTTAGATCATATATATTCAACAATATGTCTTGTTATCTTCAATAAGTTCCCCAAGAAAGTTTTCAACATCTTCATCCGTGTCGATATCTGTAATTCCTTGAAGGTATCCTGAGTCAAGTTATCCATCCTTTCGTATTCCATGCTTCTTCTCGAATGTTAAACTAACTATACTGAACATAGCGTTGACACCACGTACATACATGCAATACATACAAATCCAATACTAATCACCATTGCCCATTCAAATGATCACGGGTCAGTGCACTCACTACGATTACTATAGTTCATTGAAAATTAGCTATTACTAGGGCGTGTAGGTTACTTAAGATTACCGTTTAGCTTGCATAGGTGACCGTGTATGGGTTTTAAGTCAGAGAAAACATTCGTGAGAGTTAATTCTTTGAAATTAACGGTTCGGCTAACGCCTCACCGTTATTTTCAAAGAATCAACTCTCACTCATGCTTTCTCTATAACATAATAATATATCGATTGCATGGAGTAAGTAATTATCTATGGTATAACAAAACATATGAGTTAAAAAATAAATTGTGAAGTATTCTTAGTGTTTCTAAGAAAAATAACATGCTCCATCACAGAGGACAAATCCTTCAATACCAGTCTGTGACACAATCATGTCAAGTTTTTCAGAGAAAAGATGTATATCATTCATTAAGATAATGAAAAGCAAGGGTCCTAAAATGAAGCCTTGAGGAACTCTTATTTTTTCAACAAAATTCAAAATGGCCTTAAATATTTCCTTTTAGTCAACGAATATTTGAAATATTTGTATCATCAGATATTTTGGAGTTATATGTAGGACAAATAAAAGTATGACATCAGTGAATGATGGCTTCATATTGAATCAACCGGAAGTAGTATATCTGTATCTAAAGGAATACATTTTGAATGCTTTATTCATTTATGCAGTTCATCTGTTTGTTAACTATTTTACAGATTTTGCTCGCTCCAGTGTTCTTCTTGAGTGTTACTCAATTTAAGATCGCATATGGGGAAACTGTTGACATCACAAAGAACTGTTTCAAGGCTCCAGAGTATGAAATTGAGTACTCCAAATATGCATTTACTATTTCGGACAAATGTAACCATGTGTTGATATGTATTGGCGACATGGACAAAATGTACAGTGATGTTACAGTGAGTGCAGATATCACCAACGAGCAAACATCCCTCTGTGTTTTCCTTACACGGTTCAGGTTTGATGAACAACAGAATGTGAACATCAATATTTTCGCAAATATCACAGAAAGCACTGTTGTATATGATGACTGTATAATTGGCACATTTGCTCCATCGATAAAATACGCCCCAGGTTTTTATGCTAAACGTCATAATGTTGTTGTTAATGACACAATCATTAAATCTCTCTCATCTGATGGATTTAAAGGTATTGACGATAAACATCTTGAGAAGGTGAAGATTGTAGCAAGAAATGATGTCCCATTTGATGATATTCGTTTTAACTCCAATGGTGCTCCATTAGAGTGGTTTTCTATAGAAACTAGTGCTAGTGAGTTTGCAAGTAACATGCTGCTTCCTTTAACAAAACGGCTTGGACTCGGGTTTAATAGTATGACATCAGTGCCAGATGGCTTCATATCTAATCAACCAGAAGTAGTATATTTGTATCTAGATAATAATAATTTAACAACTCTGACTAGCAATTTATTTAAAGACCCAAGCAAAGCCACAGAACTTGATCAAATCTATTTGAATAAAAACCAGATATCTAACATTGATAATAATGCCTTTGAAGGTCTGGGTGATGTTCTGATACTAGACATATCCATGAATAAGCTTGCCATTTTAAAAGATGACGGTTTCCAAGGTCTCCAAAGACTTAGAGTATTACGACTACACTTTAACAAGATTTCTGATCTTGAACCCAGTGCATTCTCTGGCCTACAGGGTTTGAGATCCCTTTTGTTGTACTTTAATGAATTATCGATTATCAAGAATGAAACTTTCAAGAGTCTTGGAGGTTTAACCCTTCTGGATCTCAGCTACAATAAACTAACAGTGCTTGAAGTAAGAGCATTTTCTGGATTGCATAAGCTGGAGGAACTAGATCTGAGGAACAACTTCCTGACAAAACTTCAAAACAATGTTTTCGATGACCTCATAAGTGTCAAAACAGTCCATCTCTATAACAACATGATAAAATCAATTGAGGTTAATGCATTCTCCGGTCTGCGAAATGTTTATTTTCTAAGCTTGCGAAATAACATGATTGAGAAATTGGAAAATGGCACATTTACGCAACTTGAAAACCTAGGGACTCTCTTCTTATCTTATAACAAACTTACTGAGATATGTTCTGGTATTCTAAATGGTCCACTGATGCTTAGTGAGCTTCATTTAAACAACAATAACTTAAAGGTACTGAAAAACAAAATGTTTGAAAATGTGAAGACTCTAGAGTACCTTGATTTAAATTACAACAAAATATCTCATATTGAATCCAAAGTATTCTTTGGTTTAGAGAATATGGTACATTTGAACTTCAACAGTAAACTTAAAGAAAATACCCCTGATACATTAGAACAACTCATTAAAGCTCTTGTGCACCAGCCTTATATAATGTTTATGTCATTAAGTGACAATAAGATAAAGGACCTGCCTGATCAGACCTTTAAATCTCTAACTATGTTAGATACATTAAATCTGACACATAATGACCTCGAGAAAATATCTTCAAGTGCGTTTGGCGCCCCTGAACAGCTTAGAGAGCTCATGTTATCAAGAAACAAATTTAAATCTGTCAAGAGAAACACTTTTAATGACTTTACAGGTCTATCACATCTTTACCTTGACTTTAACAAAATTAAATTTTGCCAGAAGAATGCATTTAAGGGAGCAAACAGTTTAGAGACGTTGTACCTTGATAATAATGTGATTAAAGAAATAAACAACCCTGATATTTGGACAGACCTTGAATCTCTTAAAACACTTCACCTCAACAATAACCAAATCAAGGTGTTGCAAGATAAAGCATTTGTTAGACTAAAATCCATTGAACAGCTTAGGTTAGACTTTAACCTTATTTCTGACATCAGTCCCTTGGCATTTAAAGGGTTAAACACACTTGCGAATTTAAATTTATCCAATAACAAGATCGAGTCCATCGAAAGTGATGTTTTTGAACACATCACTGGTTTAAAACATCTTGATCTGTCATATAACTTGATCAAGAGCGTAGGTGCCAAAACATTCACTCCACTGCGGTCGATCCAAGAATTGCTCCTCTCAAATAACAAAATTGAATCTTTCAACTCCAACGCCCTTGTTCATATGAGTGCTTTGAATAAAGTTCATTTAGAGAATAACAACCTGAAAAGTGTTCCAAAGTTGAATTTAACAGACGAGAGACAGATCAAATTGTACCTAACAGGGAATGGTATCACCTACCTCCCTTTAAATACCAACCAGAAGTTTGTGTATGTTGAATATGAAAAGAAAGTGGCAAATTGTTCGTGTGAGCAACTCAATAAGGTGTTCAACACATATGAATCCCATTTCTTCCCAGTGCAATGTCTCAATACTGGTATGACTCTTCAATGGTATGACTACCCTTGGGAAGACCAACTATGTCAAAATGTTGACAATACGGTGCTGAGGCCTAACAATTAGTCAAAGATGTGAGTTTGAGCAGCCCCAGACTTTCAAATGCTATTGTATGCATCTAAAAAATGCATTTTTATTGTATTTACACTAGATTTCGTATTCAATAGTGCTCCAAGTAGTGATCTGAATTCTAGCCTCGAGAACATCCATTTCAACTTGGATATTTTGGGGCAAATACCTACAAGTGATACTGAAAACTTTATATAAGTCATATTGTCACATATAGATAAAAACGCCAATCTATTTTTTGCAGTAGCTTGCAAACTAACTATTTACTATTCATTTCATAAATTGCTATATGATAGTGACTTTGTTCTGAATATAAGAAGAAATGCATACACAGTCGACCATGTTGCCTTTTATAGAAATTTCTATTCAGACCGTGACCTTGTTCTGAATACTAGTTTGCAGACCTAATATGTCTTAGCCCATATTAGTAAGAACATGTTTATACAGATTACCATGTTGCCCTGTATAGAAATTTCTAGAGAGAAACACATATTGTTCTAAACAAGAAATTATGCATCTTATAAAGGGTGACCAAAAACAGTAGAACCAATTTCTTTATTGAAAGACTTGTTGGTTCTGTTTTAGGTCACCCTGTATGTGTTACAAGCCAATATTGGAATTTCTTTATAAAAGCCAAAAATTGAATTTCATAATATAATTCTATATAGAAATGGCTGTTATTCTCGTATAATACTTTATAAAAAGCATTTAGGTAAATGAACCTTAATTCAAAATCATATAAGAACAGAATGTGTTTTGTTGGCAGATCTATATCTGATCAAAATCTAGATATTTTTGTAAATATTAAGCTTTTATTAATAAATAAATTTATGTGGATTTACAGATGACTTCTCTATTTATCGCTGGTTGGCATAGAAAAAGTCCAGATTGGGGGAGTATGCTATTTTTCATAAAAAAAAACTAAGAAAACTTCACAAAACTATTTTTGGACTCAAATGTTTTGTTATACTCTAGAAAATTAACTACTCTAAGCAATATGAGTATATCATTTGCAGATAACCTTCACTTCACAGTCTCATTTTCTTCTAAATATCAAATGTCAAAATAGTTTTTAATAAAAAGTCTGAACTGAGGCTTGAATTGAACTTTGTTCAACTTCACCAATATTCTTAAAATCAAATAAAAGAAGGCATACTTGTTTGCCTCTTCTCACTTTCATTGAAAAGATAAAATGTGCAAATGAAAGCTATACACATTCACTGGGTCCGACTTCTATCACTTGACTTCTCAGATGCATTTGACACAATTGATCATAACATATTTAAATAAATAAATAAATAAATAAATAAATGGTCACATTATGGAATATGTAGAATAACTCTTTTATGGTTCCAAAGCTGCCTTACTCAATGTAGTCAAATTGTTATTTCTTATGGCTGTAGAACAGAACAAACCACACTAAGTCATGGAGTCCCCCAAGGATCAGTGCTTGATCCGATCTCATTTCTTCCCTACATAAATTACATTTATAAATGTTCTGATAAATGTTTTTAGTTCATCCTATTTGCTGATGATACCAATCTATTGGCCTCCTACAAGGATCTTCCTACTCTACTAGATAGTGCAAATAAAAACTCAAAACTCAATGACATGATCAATGCCAATAAACTTTCTTTAAACACTGACAAAACTAAATGGATTCTCTTTAGACCAGGTAGAACCTCAACCAATCACTTTCTTGAAATAAACAACACAGAACTTAAGCAAGACAGCACCATATAAATAATAGATAAATAATTATTGATGCCTTAATGAACATATCAAAAACTTCAAAAAAAGAGTTGTCAAGAGTTCAGTGCTTTACTCATTAAATACTACTCATTTGTTCACTCTCACATCAATTATTGTAATATTATTTTGGGTAACAACTACAAATCCAACCTAAATAAGATACACATAATTCATTACCTTGATCATGCAGCTCTTTTATTCAAAGAACTCTATTGATATAATTACTGAATATATATGATTTAAACAAATCGAATACAGCAATATTCATGTAAAATAGGGCAATAGGGGGAAGACATATTGAGAATACACAAATATATACATATATAAATGTTTAAGTAATATGATATATACACAGCAATGTGCTGTATGAGGGCTTTGAAAAGGTGTGAAAAACTCTTTAACTCTTGAATTCCAGGTTCTAAAATCGGTTAAAATCAGAGAATTTTTCATTTTTGCCAGCTTTTTGACATAAATAAACAACAGATGATCCTCATTTTAGTAAAATTAAACGACGGAGATCATTCCTAGACATTTGAAATCAATTTTTGTGTAAATTGGATGAAAATTGTTTAAATGAGAGCAATTTTGTGACAGATTATCTCGTTATTCTGGGTTTCAAGGTCATTTCTGAGTGTGACGAGAAATCTTGTCACACTTGGTAAGTCAAGAGGTTAATAGTTATATACAACCTTTAATGAGTATTTCAGTTATCACTTGGATGGAGGTGTTCCTATATTCCTCTGAACTTTCTATGGTTAAGGAACGCTTTACCTTTCAATTAGTGAACATAATTAGCCAATAGCCTGCTCATCAAAATGTAACATATCATTATATTTTGAATGCACTGATTCTAGTCTATTATCAAAGATGACATTTTTTATGAAAAATAGCAGCCATTTCAAATTGAGCAGCCATATCAGCCATTTTGAATAGACTTATATGCGATAGTTCAGAATGACAACAATATTCTTACCTCCCGTATAGAAAAGCTCCAATTCTGAGTACAGATTTATTACATCTGGGTTTTCCCCATTGAAATATACAGGGTCCAATTTTGAACACATCATTTCAGCTTTATTTTAAATTCTTCTTCACGTAATACTATATATTTACACTAATGGATAAAAATATATGTCCTTATGACATACTGCAAAGCGTTTTCACAGATATCTTTTGAAACTGCACGATAATCATGAAGTTTTATCGTGACGTGACGTCACCGACTTTGTTCCCTGAAGCCAAAACGTGATGACATAAATTGGTATTTTATGTTTATGTATGCTTGACTTGATTCAAATGTGAGGGTCGTCACTTGATATTAGTATGAACTTTATTGTCTTGACAATACCCCAAAACATGGTTTTATGGTTGGGAGAATTTAGATTCAATCAATGGACCATGAAAATTTGTCCTACTTGAAGCGATGCATTGCAGGAGATATTTATGTTAATGAACATGTTTTTGTCTATTACGAATAGGACTATTGAGCATTCATTTCAAAATTCTATGTTCTATGTCCCAAAAGCATGAGCATATAAAAGGATTGGTATTGATATGGCGAACTGAATTGAACACATGTTTCTCTTAAATGAGTCATCAAAAACATTCTGAACATTTTACACATCGTCAATTTAATGATAGTCTTTTGAATGGTAACAATTTAATTTGAAAAAATATACATACTTTTAAAAGGTTTATTTTAATTCTTATCTATTTTTGGGGTTTCTGTTTTAATTGTTTGAATACTTTTTGTTAAATGAACCAAACGTTCCTTTGTATAACTATAATATTGAGAGATCTAAGAAAATGTTGTATATGCTATTTTGTTCCATCAAGGTTCGGAAAGATATTTTATTTCATTCTCAAGAATTGGTAGAAAGGAACAAAAAAAATTGCACTAAAAAGCCAAAATCTTAACAAAAAGGGTTATATAAAATATATATAAATAATTTTTGCATTAAATTTTTGTCGATTAGTGACCATTATATAAAGGACCATGCTTTTTTACAGAATTTTTTCAATAATCCGTTTAAGAGAAAAACAATGTTGAATTCAGTTCGCCATATCGATACCATTCCTTTGAACCTAATCCGTCAACTGGTATTGAGTTATCAAACGTTACCTTTATCATGAAAAATGGTGGCGCCATTTTGAAATGACCGGCTATATTAAAATGCCTACATGACTAGAGGTACTTTCAAAATCCACAATTTGGTCCATTATGGTATTTAAAGGCAGAATCAGATCAAAGGAAGAATTCATCAGAATTTCCATAATGATCTTTAAGAAAATTGTTTTAGCAGGGGTGCTTCACCCATAAGGCATAAGTCAATAAAATTTGAACCAAATCCATCAACTGGTAATTGAGTTATCACCTGGTTATACAAATAATAATAAATATAACTTCAATAGATTCAGAACTGTCCAGAAAACTTCATAAAGCGTGGAAATTCCTGTTACAAGTTTGAATATACCAGAATGGTGACATGGTGGGAGGCCAATATTGCCTGTGTTAACCTAAATGCCCATTTGGCAGCGATAGAATCTGAAGCTGAGCAGAACTATTTAAATCTCAGGATCAACTCATTTGGCTACAAAAAAAGGGGAGGAATGACCCGTCACCTTTGGATTGGTAAGTGCCAAAGGAGCACATAGGTTATCGCAAACAATTTCAAACGATTCTAACTTGAATTATGAATATTTTCTGATCATGAACATGGGTGTATCTTTTAGATCCATTCATTATCTTAAAGAAAAGTATATTTATTGATAATTTAGTTAAACAGACTTAAGTGGCATTGAAGGGGCAATGGACCAATCGACATACTTTTTCAAAAATGTTGACCTAATTTTCACCAAAAATGCAACCTTTTATTAAATTGTTGAATGGATAATTAGAATGTGCTTTGAGAAATGTTCAATTTCCTAAAAGGAAAAGTTGATTGCTCCAGGGACTTTAAAGATACTGAATTTGGATGACCAAAATGAACTGAAACCAATGGATAGCATGAGATTTTTCAATAGAGAAATAACATGGAGAACACTTATTTTTAAGCAATGAAGTTTTTCTTTGAAGAACTATTTGATACATCAAAATAGAGAATAGTAATGCATTAAACATTGTAAAAAATGATTGCATTTTTGGTGAAAATGGGGTCAACATCTTTGAAAAAGTGTGTTGATGGGTTAATCGCTAGTTTTATCTCCGAGTTTGTTTGACTTTATTATTACTGCATATAATTTTCTTTAAGATAATGAATTGATCTAAAAGATAAACCTGTCTTCATTGTCAGAAAATAGTCATAATCCAAGATATAACCTTCTGAAATTGTTTGCAATAACCTATGTGCTCCTTTACTTTTTTGACTCTCTTTATCGTTTGAATTAATTACCTAATTTTCTAGCATTTCTACATATTTTTTAATATTACATAAAGGACCTGTGACCCTTTAATCACACAGTGAATTGTAATCACATTATGTTTGGAAAGGATTAACTTTGTACAGAAAAATCTCTTTTTGTCCAAATTACATGAGTTAGTTGTTGTTCAGTTGCTACGATTTAGGTAGGTACTATATTATTAGTTACTCAGTTACCTAGTTACTTCAAAACTATATACAAATAGAAAACAGCAACTACACAGTGTAGCAAATCCCACCTAACAAAACATGTTTTGAAAATCTCTTCTTGAACAGAGCTCCTTAGTCCCTAGGTATTAGCATATGCAATTTGAACCAAATCTGTCCACTGGTATTTGAGTTATTGAAGATTATGTTTTTTACAAAAAATGGTGGCTATTTCTACTGCGATCTTAAGGAGAGCTTTTTTATCTCTAGGCATCAGAGTGTAACATTTTAACCCAATCAGTCTACTGGTATTTGATCATCAAAGATTATGGTTTCCTACAAAAAATGCTGGTCATTTTGAAATGAAGTGGCCTTCTTGCAATTGTCTCCTTGAGCAGAGCTCCTATCTCTCAAGGTATCAGCATATAAAATTTGAACAAAATCCATCTACTATTCTAGTATTAGAGTTATCAAAGATTACATTCTTTTACGAAAAATGGCAGCCATTTTGAAATTCAGCTGCCATCTTGAAAACTCCTTAACGAGTAGAGTTCCTGTGTCCCTAGGCATCAGCATAAAATAAGAGCAACGTCTGTCTACTTGTATTTGAGTTATCAAAGATTACATTTTTTATGAAAAATGGTGGCCATTTTAAAATCAGCAGCCATCTTGAAAAGGACGATTCTCAGTTTGGAGAACGAAGTTCATCAATCTAAATGAGCATTATCCCTGCTTCAGACAAATTTGATATTTTTACATAATATAGATTTGAATGTCTTCTTTTGAATAGTCATAATTTAATTTGGGTAATATTTCTAGATTTTTCGCAAAAAAATATTAGCGCAGTACACTGATGAACTTCTTTCCCCAAATCGAGACTTGTATTTTATTGAATCGGTCTAATTGAGCGTTATCCCTGCTTCAGACCAATTTGTTATTTTTACATCTTGTAGATTTTAATGTCCTCTTTTGAATATTCATAGTTTAATTTGGGTAATATTTCTATATTTTTCATGAAAAAAATTATTAGCCCAGGAGACTGTTCTCCAAAACGAGAATCGTCCTTTCTTCTTGGGCAAAGCTCCTTTGTCCCTAGGCATCAGCCTTTAAAATTTTAACGAAATTCGTCCACTGGTATTTGAAGTATCAAAGATTACGTTCTTTTACGAAAAATGGTGACCATTTTACAATTCAGCTGCCATTTTAAAAATTCTTTATCGAGCAGAGCTCTTGTGTCCCTGGGCATCAGCATATAAAATTTGGATGAAATTTGTCAACTGGTATTTGAGTTATTAAAGATTACAGTTACAAAACAGATTACAAAACAGTTAAAAAACATTAATTCAAATGAAACTAGCCACAAGCAACACATAAGTAATATTTGAAGTAACTCACAATTTTAAGTAATTTTTATATTTCATAAAATATCAGTGCCCCGGCTGCACCATTTCTTATCTTTAAGTTTTATATATTTATTAAATATAAGTGACTATGAAATAAATCATACTGTAGACGAAATTTAACTGTGAATAAATATTTAAAAATATATATCTGAAGAAAACCCAATGTAAATATTGTGTTTTATTATTTAGGAGGAAATAACCTAGCAGGAGGAGGATGGAAATGGGCAGCTGCTGGATTAGGATTTACCTCTAAACCGATGGAATATACATACTGGAGAAGTGGTCAACCTGATTACTCTGACAACACTAAAAATTGTGTGTATATTGATGGCAGACCAGACACTTATACAAATACATGGAATAACATTAACTGTGCATGTGACCTATTTTAGTTTGTGAAATTAACTTGTCGAAATACAAATGGAAAATAAATTATGATTTGGGTATCCAAAATAAAATTTTTGTTTTGACTTCTATGACATCTGAAATTGTAATTTGGGGATTAATTTTAATTAATAATAGATATATTTGGACATGTCATCTTATAAGTAATATGGCAACCAATTCATTTAATAAATACATGTGGTAGCTGAAACTAATTCATTTAATAAATACATGTGGTAGCTGCAACTAATTCATTTAATAACTACATGTGGTAGCTGAAACTAATTCATTTAATAATTACAAGTGGTAGCTCCAACTAATTCATTAATAACTACATGTGGTAGCTGCTCAAACCATGACCTTTCTCTAGAAAGCAATCATGGGTTGTTCCGAGGTACCTAGTGATATTTTGAGCAAAAATGAGAGAATATACAGTGATGAAAATATGGGGCAAATATTGTGTTTAAATACATGATGTGTCATTTTGAAGACTGATCCTTTCAGTTGCTTGCAACTGGCTCAAAACTTCGCCCGCCAAACAATTTTTCTAAGTTTAGAATATCACTTGACTAGTAAATTGGAACTTTAAATAAGATATGTTAAATTGACTTGTTGAATGTGAAATACCTCAAAGGTACATTGCAGGAATACATGGATGACTGAAGTTCGAATCCCTTTGTAACCCTTTCTGTAACTTGATGGTTGCTTTGCTATTTTGCAGAAGAAAAACAGTTTTAACCACATCAATTTTGTATTAAAGCAATTGATAATCTTGTCAGTTGTATAAGCAATTATTAGATGTTGTGTGACATAATGTGACACATTTTTGGCCCCAATGTGACATTTTGCTGGTCTCATTTACTCCAGTGAATCATGATCTCATAATTCCAAGATGTTTTGTTATTGTTTACACAACTCTTGTAGTTTCCGTGACGTCATGATTACCAAGGAAGCAAAAAACCCATACTATAATTTTGTTACTGTTCATGTGGGGACCAATATGATTGATCTATTAATATTGTTATATTATTCAGGGCTGTCATGTGTTGCGCAACTCACGGTCCCTTCAAATGTCCCAAAAATTAAGGTTACAGGCCTATAAATTCCCAAAATCACTGCAATATAATATCAAATGATTTACAAATTGATTCAAAACAAAGTTTTTTGCATTTTTTATTTAAGTTTACCTTCACTTGAGAAGTCCTACCAATCTCCTAGCATTTCAGTCATTGACAGCACTGTGTTATTTTTAGCTGCAAGTATTTCAGTTGTCCATTCAGTGATGAAACCAATTTTGAGAGATAATTAAAAAGTATATTCAAGATGTTCAAATTCATCTATGAAGTTTCACTTGACAATTTCAGGATTGTACGCTTGTATTTTCCATGAACAATAAAATCTATGTGCAGTAGAAGAGTTCTACATCTACATCAATGATCTGCAAAAGGCTAATAAGCTATATAGTTTAACAGTGATAGAATTTGAATAGTATTTCAGTTGTCCATTCAGTGATGAAACCAATTTTGAGAGATAATTAAAAAGTTATTATTTATATTCAAGATGGTCAAATTCATCTATGAAGTTTCACTTGACAATTTCATGATTGTACGCTTGTATTTTTCATGAGCAGTAAAATCTTTGTGTAGTAGAAGAGTTCTACATCTACATCAATTATCTGCAAAAGGCAAATAAGCCCATTTAAAGCAGATATATAGTTTAACAGTGATAGAACTTGAATAGATTATAATTTAAACCTTAACACCTAAAAAATAGATCTATGGTTTTCAACTCATATCAAAGTTGAAAGGAAACTCTCTGGTTGGCCCATGTAACCCCCTAGGAAGTCCCCTTGTGTTAAAATACCCTGGAACAACTATCAGCGGTCTTGAAATAGACTTGAATCTTGTATCAAATCCCAAAGGCTTGTTGATTCTATCCTTCGCAGAACGATTACTCCAATCTATGGTTTTTTATACATTTTACAAAACAATATTCTTCACTCTCTTTCCCCCTCTTTTTTCAAGGTACATATGTCCTTTGTGTAAAACTGAAAGATGTAGATACTGGAGGGAAGGAGTTCATATTTGAAAAATACCATGTGACTCTATTGAGGGATGCCTCAAAGTTATGAACATTCAGAACATCTCGGTGACACTGATAAGTAGAAAACACAATTGCCACTTCAAGTACCTGTTTTCTAGGCATATTTACCCTTGTTAATCAACAAAATGGGAAATCCCCACAAAATCCAGGCAAGGAAGATTACATGTAGCTCCCAGGGATGCCACTCACTATTCTTTCCCATATATGGGTATCACAATCACATACAGTTTGGAACATAAATAAATGACAAGTGGATTTTCTATCACCATTTTCCTAACCATTACAATGGTCGTCTGAAAGTCCATAGTTTCCAATATTGTTGAGATACATACATGTATACCCCTAAAATTTGTATATTTAACATTTTGCATACACTGATTGGCCTCTTGAAAATTCTCTTATTTTAACATGGGAAATCCTCACTTCAGCAAATCAACCTGTCTTATCCAGTGCCCGGCACTATAATCCTGAGAACGTCTCAATCTTTTGCCTGTATGATTACAACATGGGAGAATTTTCTACGCCTCTTACACTTAGTCCTGGAACCGGATAACACCTGTCATTTATTTATGTTCCAAACTGTAGGCCTACTCATGTCATGAACACAAATATCAGCCATTCTCCCTACAGCCCTAGAAAGGTACAGGCACGAATGGCAATATCACATTTCATTGGAGATAATGAATATTGAGTTGTATCCCCGTCTTCTAGACTAATCCTCCTTGACAGTTGACTTTAATAATGATGGCCAACCAGTTATTTAGATTATGTAAATAAATACTTACTATTGAGAGTAACGCTGCCCATCTCCGTGTTACACGATAGCCAAGCTGTAGAATCACCAACAATCGTGTTGCATTTACTGCACTGAAACACCATTGTTGCCTCGGAATCGTCAATTTCGTTCCCGCCGTCATTTTGAAGTGAGCCGTCCGACATCTTGGAAAACTTTTTGACCTACTTTGTATTGATTTGGTTGTTTCCTATTATACCAATAATGTATAGTAACAATATTTTCCTGAGTGTACCTCTATGTATAACGCTATTTTATAAAATAAGGATATATAATATTTGATGTCATAAATATATTTAATTTTCAGCGATAATGAGGTATCAAATAATCTGAGCTAGCTTTGCTGGCTTTGACCCACATCTTGAAAATCACTAAAAGTTTTTATTTTTAAGAAAATTACAATGTTACACCTGACTGCGATAATGAACAATCAATTAATGATGTTGAATAGATATAAGGGAGTATCAAATTCGATTTTCCAAAAGCTGAGAAGTTTAGACAATTGTTTTAATCGAAAATTCACTTCAAATGTTCTAAAAAACTGTAATTTTCAAACAAATGCAAAACTATTCAGAACATGGGAAACAACTATATACAGTAGCTGCATACATTATGGACAAACTAGGACTCTAACCTCATTCTCAGGAACTGGTTTATGTGGATTAAATATTTCAAAAGTATCCCATCGGAACACTTCTCTTCAAAAAAGCAGTCCATATGTTGTGCCATTGAGACATAAATCAGGTGCAAGAAAACGAAGCAAGCTTTCAAAGGTAAAAGGATTTATTAAACAATATAATAAAATTGGTTGAATATTTTTTTAAAACTCATTTAAATTGAAGATATTGTAATGACCCGAGGGCGCCCCAGGGGTATGACTAACTAATGACTATAACGAGCAAAGTGTAACAAGCCAGATAAAGAAATTGAAAGTAAGTGTGCTAAATTCAATGCCCCGTGTGGGAATCGAACCTAGGACCCTTGGATCCAAAGACTGATGCTCTACCGACTGAGCTATAAAGGCTTAAGCCACTACAGCTGGACTGTAGTAGCAACTTGTTATCAAGGGTCGTTACACTATCTCCCCCTTTGAAAGGACCACGCCCTCGTGGTCAGCCCTGCTTCCCTAGCAGTGACTACCATATACACAAGGGCGCAAAGGATACAACCAATGCTCTGATCCCACATCTGACACCAATGTAATGACCCGAGGGCGCCCCAGGGGTATGACTAACTAATGACTATAACGAGCAAAGTGTAACAAGCCAGATAAAGAAATTGAAAGTAAGTGTGCTAAATTCAATGCCCCGTGTGGGAATCGAACCTAGGACCCTTGGATCCAAAGACTGATGCTCTACCGACTGAGCTATAAAGGCTTAAGCCACCCACTACAGCTGGACTGTAGTAGCAACTTGTTATCAAGGGTCGTTACACTATACTCAGATACGGTACAGTTTCACATTATAGCTAGGCAGATTCATTGTCCTACAGAATGTAAAAAAAGATTAGACAAATTAAGATAAATGGGATATATTTCTATTTGGCATTGGACATCAATACTTTTCATACCACTTTGAACTAGGCTATGGCTCGCCCTCTTCGCATTTTTGAACTGAAAATGAAGTCCAATGTAGAGTAAAGATTCAGACTTGGATGAGATAATGTCAAACTTCTGTATGATTTATATTTAGAGTGAAGATTCAGACTCGGATGTTGAAGACAATACAGATGATGATGATGGGGATGAAAGTGATGTTGATGATGATGTTCCTAAGGGATACAGAGATATAACAGCTCATGTTAAGTCTTTAAGAATTGATTCAGTTCTTGCTGCTGGACTGAACATCTCCAAAAGGTAAGACTGATTAATTCTCTGTTCTTTGATAACAGCGTGTCATTAGTACATGATGAGAGACTATTTTCAAGATTCAAAAACCCAAAGCACCTGTAAAGTAGAACACCTCTGTAAGTGGAACACCTCAATAAGTGGACCAATTTCCTGTTGCCCATTAACACTAATATAAAAATTGATCTCTGTATGTTGAACACTTTCAAAGTGGAAAATTATTACCAAAGGTGTTTCACACAAGTTTTACAGTTAAACACTCTCCATGTGAAGTGTTGTTAAGGATTGTAGACAATTTTCCTTGAAGAGAAAGTTAATTTAAATGTTAGTCAATGTGAATTGACTCTTTGGGAAAATGGTCCATGTAGAGAGATGTACCTTCCAGAGAGTTGTTCTGTCTGAGAGCTTCTACAGTTTACAATTACTTAATTTTTGTTTGTATTTTCAGTAAAATTGATGACTTTTCCCTTTTATATTGACTCTTTGGGAAACTGGTCCATGCAGAGAGATGTACCTTCCAGAGAGTTGCTCTGTGTCTGAGAGGTCCTACAGTTTACAATTCAATTAGGCTACTTACATTTTGTTTGTATTTTCAGCAAAATTGATGACTTTTTCCTCCAGAGTAAACTAAGACTGAACAATGAAAAAGTTTTAAAAAAGGCTAGAAAGGTAAATTATTTCTTGAAATGAAATACAGTAAAACCTGTCTTAGTGAACACCTCTTCTGAATAAACTTGCTTCTCTGTAGTGAACACCGTCCTACCTAATAGAGAACACGTTTTTGTGGCTCTATTAGGTGTGCACTGTGTTCATGTTTTACTATACATCCTCTAGATCACTGTCATTCACTATAAGTGAAACATCTCTTTTTCCAAAACTAAAGACAGATGTCATTTAAAATTGAAGGAATATCCTGAGATAAAGTCATCACTGTTGGAGCTTTTATAAAAGACAGGACATGGAGTATGGAGTGATGATAGCAAAATAATACTTTACAAATATTACAGCTTTTTTTAAACTTGCTCTAAATTTTTATCTCCTACTCCTTTTAAGGTACAGTAAAACCTGTCTTAGTGAACACCTGTCTCTAGTGAACACCTGTGTTTAGTGAACACCACTTCAATATACATTTTACATTGACTCCTGAATAAAAGCCCTCATCTGTAGTGAACACCTACCTACAGTGAACACTTTTTGTGCCTCCATAGGGGGGTTTACCGTTTTACTGTAGATAGAAGTACCATATATTTTCAGTAAATCAGACACTCATACAGTTACTTAATGTACTTGATATTTTATCTTCAGGTTTCAGAGGGAGATGAACTTGACTTAATACATGAATACAAAGATGATGTGATGAAAGTAAAACGAGTGTATATTAAAAAAATATTGCCAGAAAAAACTGGAGGAGACAGATTTGTTGTTAAGTTAAGAACTTGGAGAACTCCCATAGAAACGGAAAACATTGATTAATGAACAATGAACAGAGTTTGTATTTACTATGGAAGTAGGATATATTTATTGAAACAAAACTTTAAACACATTGCTTTGTGGTGTTGACTTGTACAGATCTAGATGGTAACATATTCAGAACAGCATGTTTAGGCATCAATGGAGAAGCTAGCCTTCAAGCAACCAACCTCGCCTCCATCAGCCTCCTTCATTCTTGCTTCAACCTCAATATCTCCCTGAAAATAGAAGTAAATTGCTTAAATATGTGCTTTTGCATGCAATTACTTTTTACAGCAATATTTGCATTTATAGTTTAAGAGTTTCAGTTAAGTCCATATGAATATTGAAAAAATAAGTATTCATATAATAAAATTTTAAAGCAATTAATAAAAAACCTTTAAAGCAATTAATACTTTTTACATGCATAAGATTGAATAAACATATAATCTGCTTTATTTCATGATTTTTTCAGTGAGTAAATGGTTGAAATTCTTACTTACTAGTATAATATTTAGATTTAATTTTTACTTACAGCAATTAGTCCTCCAAGAATGCCATCTAAAGCTGGGAGTTCAATATCAATACCTGCAAATAGAAATGTAGTAGAATGTAAATATCTGGTATAAGTATAGGTTTCCTTAAATGTGTCATGGTAAATTGCATCCTATTTAGTTAGATTCAGATTTCCTTCAAAAGATGGGCAGGAAGTCTTACTTCGATCCCTTGCAACCCCCACATTCACTTTCATAAGAGAGAAACTTTATGCAATAATAGAGGGCATGAAGCATAAGCAATCGACTATTTTGTGAGTACACCGGGAGTGAGTATAAGCAATACCTTTTACTAGAAATACAATGTAACACTCTTTACCTGGTACACTGATCTGTCTGGCCTTGAATGGGCAAGAGCATCCTCCAAGGAACTGGGTAACCTCAGCTGGGCACTCTGCGCCTTCAGCAGTTACAAGGTCATTTACCAGGCTGCAGACATCTTGGTATGAGCTACAAGAAAAGACAGTATTCAATTATTCAAATTGCAATGAATGAAAAGTTAAGATATCTTATCAAATAAAGAGGTTGTTGAAGATTCAAAATGCAGAAATGTTGAAATTTATTAAAATTAAAACAGGGGTACCGTTTTTCACTTTTATCATGTAATCTTAAAAATCAAATGACTCTCTTGAAATAAAGTCCAAACTGCTGTACTTTTTAAGAAAATAGGCATGATATGGAATGACAAGAGCAAAATATCTTAAGTCATTGTTGCTTAAACTGCACGTGGCAATCATTTATATATATTTGTTTTGAAAATGTTGAAGATTTGAACGAAGTCATCAATATAGCTAGCGCAAACTTGATGTATGCACTGTATCATGGATACAATATGTGAACCACAAACTGCATGTAGCAGAATCGAAGACTTCATATATTGTTCCATATAATGTATGTATGTATAGTTCCGTACCATGATCCGATTCCATCAACACAGGGAATGTCAACCATGATTCCGAAGAGAGATTTGCGGATGATAAGGTCGGCGTCCAACTGCTTGTCTCCGAGCTGTCTCTTGATTTCTCCCTCAAGACTAAGTCTCAGGTTGCCTGGGATGACCACTGGGCTTGGGGTGACCTCAACTTTGCTAACAGAGATAGCTTTGTCGGCACTGCCTGGTGGAATAAATCAGGAAAATCCATGGTATAACGCTTTTATTTTGACTCAATTACTCAATCAGTGCCATTGGTGGTAAAATGAGTCGGTTTACTTTGAACTGCCTATGTTATTAGAAATTAACTATCGTTTATTTACATTATGTATATTTATATACGATCACTACTACAATAGTCCCAAGTCTTCAATTGTTTTAAATTCTTTCAAAAATACCTAAATGAATCGAAAAAAATTGCCATGTAGAGCATCCACCTCGATTCATTTTTAACTTACAGTAATTATAATGGTTTCTTGGAATGGATTTTCAAAGTGGAAAACCAAAAATAGAACATAACAATCTGTCTCGTATTCTGTGTACTTACCACAGTCCTCCCACTTCAGTGCGCTGGCTACTGCCACACAGGCGACGATCACTGCGAATCTCATCATGTTGCAAATTGTTGGAATGAAAAGTTAGGGTAACTTCAAATAGATTCACATTGTGCTTTTATAGGAACGCCAGAGCTGTATCTTTGCTATCGTTATCATTATCATTACAATCAGATAAGAATCAAGGATACGTGGGTCAGGCCTTGGGATGAACTTTGTCAGTATAATCCCTTTATCAATACTGGCATGTTTGACCTTATCACATTGATCTCTCTCGTGATCACATATCGTTCGATATTATTTTCTTTTGAAATGTGTAGGCCTATCTTATTCCAAAATTAGAATTTGGCCTAGGTATCAGTCGGGTAATCTAAATTACAAAACGATGAAAACGTCAACAAGATTTTCCTCAAATAATACAGACAATGGAAACATAGAAATTATATTTGAAAAGAATCTTTTTGTAAGTTCCTGAAATTATAATGTCACACATTTATTCTGTTTGGTATTTACATAAGTGGGACGTTTGGTGTTTGACATTTTTACTTAAATGAAAGTATATAATTTCACCATTGTATTTAAACACCCTTGGTATACGCAGCTAACGAAAATTGACCGGTACAGGTCAAAAGCTGGACCGGTACGGGTTAACGGTTTTATTTGAATTTAAAACAGCCATAACTTGCTCAATATTGACTTCCTCGTGTCTCATTTGAAATATATGATGCCTCCCGATGCTTTTAAGTACCCCAATTTTTTACAGATTTTTAAACGGACCAAAACTCTCTAAATGCGCATTTATGCTCTTTTCTCTCGAGAACGACTGTCTCATTTTCACGATAACTTTTATTTAGTACTTCTAACATATAAGATCTATTTTTCCCCATCAAGGTATGATGTAAATGACATGCTATTAATTGTGAGTTTCAATGACGCGCGTTTGATTTTATAAAAAATGCCAAACTTTGTGACAAAGAATTTCATCAGCTATTGCCCCGAACCGGTCCGTCTTCTCGCTGCAAGCAGATTGCCCCGAACCGGTCCGTCTTCTCGCTACAAGCAGGATGAAATTCTTTGTCACAAAGTTTGGCATTTTTATAAAATCAAACACTCGTCATTGAAACTTACAAGATGTAAAAAGCATGTCATTTACATCATACATTGTTGGGGAAAAATAGATCTTATATGTTAGAAGTACAAAATAAAAGTTATCGTGAAAATGAGACAGTCGTTCTCGAGAGAAAAGAGCATAAATGCGCATTTAGAGAGTTTTGGTCCGTTTAAAAATCTGTAAAAAATTGGGGTACTTAAAAGCATCGGGAGGCATCATATATTTCAAATTAGACACGAGGAAGTCAATATTGAGCAAGTTATGGCTATTTTAAATTCAAATAAAACCGTTAACCCGTACCCACTGTATAAAATAACGAATATTGCTTGCAAATAACGAGCAATTCTAGTGGTTATTTGCTTCAAATTGCATGTTATAACCAGTAATCATCACTGACAGAACGCAGACAATAACTGCATATATGGAACACACATATATGCAGCTGCATATAACAAACATCCACGGAGAATACTGACTGCATATACGGGTACTGTCACTGAGTATATGTGCTTATATTCAGACATACTTTGCATATTTGCTGTTTACTTGTGATTATATGCAGCGCTGAAACTGCATATACCTGCTTATTTGGGATAGACAAATATAAGCAGTTGAGTATACTAGATATATATAAAAATTAAAACTGATTATATTTGCATATAATCTGCATATATGCCACTTTTCATGAGTATTTCTGCATATTTTGAGATAAGTAATATGCAGCATGTGAGTATATTGAGACATGCACAAGAATATAAACTAACTACATTAGCATATATAGAGTCAAGATCGGTATATTTGACATATTCTTGCTTATTTAGGAGGACTGGTAGACGCTGTTTTGTGAATTGGGCATAAACATCTGTTAATGTAAATTCCTATTTATGAGCATTTGAGTGTTGTAGCTATAGGTTTGGTTTACTGTACTTGTTTTTTGGGGTAAGAGATTTGAAAAAATTGCACATAAACAGCTTTTACGTTTTTATAATTTATTTTAAATTTCTTTAGATTTCTATGTACAGAGTAGGCCAATGAGACGACCTCTATAAGTAATAACTTCAAATAGTATACATGTCATGATATAGGGAGAAAATCATTGTTACAACTTATTAGCCCCGTGAAATAATATCGCTTGAAGATGGCAATGTTTTGATCCACCTCTCATATCGCTTGATACATATATAGACATATTTACATTGCACTGTAATTATATTTCTTCCTTTAAATGATACATAATTATCGTAGGCAAAAATATGAATGCCTATTTCAAATCATTGAAAATTATATTCTCTCTCGAATGATAAGCCTAATAATGATTTTACTTTTAAATGGATTTACTCATTATGTTTTGGCCAAACCTGTATACTGCTAAATGAATATATTTACATTGCATTGTACATGATGTAACATTATATTTCTATCTTTAAAATGGTGCGAACTAATGCTCCAAATCAATGTACGCATATTGCCCAATCTTGAAAACTGTGTTTTTTGTAGCAAGATATGGCCTATCTTCCGGTAGCAAATTCTCGTACGATATCGAATTCTGCTTTCACCATTCAAACTCCTTTCTTCTTCATCCTAGTGTCTTCTACACGTTTCTCAATATCTATGTAAATTCAGCTATCACATGAATTCTATTTTGCGGGAAATTTGACACTGCATACAAAGACACTGCTCTGAAGACACTCCTCTGAAGATACAAAGACACTGCTGTGTATTTTATTCAATGATACAAAGACATTAGTTTATAGCATACTGTTCAGCCATACAGTATCATGGACCTTCCGAGACAATCAATTTATTAAATTATCAAGATCAATGCCAAATCTTATGTTTACAACAATTTGCCAGGTGTCTTTATTGTGTTTTTTTTCATTATCAAACTCAATCATCTATCCATTAAGGGAAATAAAAAGCAAGCTAAAGTTTAACTTACGAGAGGCTTCGTCGTGTTCCTGGGTCTGGCGTGGAGCAAATGGCTGACTGGCTAAATTGCGACATGGGCTTCTAATCAAAAGCCCATGATTGCGCCAATGTGTAGACATTCTCTAAGTATGGCTTTATGATTATTTACTACTCAACAGACATTGGTCATTTGGCAAGCTTAATGTTTCCCTGTCAACCACCTGTGTGCGTGTCAGTACGATTATTACTTGCGCATCATAGCTCGGAGACATGCAGTTTGCTCAATATCCACCCCCTCATTTTTAGTTATTCAATAACAAAATATATTGTTAAAACATAAAATACTAAATTCTGCGACATTTTGCTGCTATTGAACAGTCATAATGCTGTTTTGATGAACCAATGATTTGACATCTCTAATAAGTAATCTAAACATAAACAATTACTAATTACCTGACACAATTGCACATAGGGGCCGGATGTTTGGAGAAGCACCTTGATAGTTGAAACCAGGAATTGTTTTGAATGGTATTTGTGATTTGTATAGAATTACCTTTTCATTCTTAGCATTCAAAATACAAACTAATAATTCACTTTTTGATGTATTCCGTTTTAATTCAAATAACAAGCTTATTCATAGTAAATCTGAATGACATTCTGATGATTTAAGAATTGTATTAATCTTGCGTCAAGATCCTTGACCCCCTCCCGACATAATACATGTATCTCTTTAATAATCTGCAATCAAGAGATTGATAGACATAATTTAATCAGATAAATGCCTTATCTAGTTGTAAAATATTTGTTCGGACCCTTATTTTATATTTGTGTAGGCCTTGGTGTATATTATCTATATGGGGATTCAGCAGGGGATTATTGGGTCAAATGTATTTTCCTCCCTTATGTCTGGGTCACATTTGCCGCGATTCATCGGCCGCTGATTGAGTATTTTGTTCCAGACTGAAATATGGGTTGCAATCAAATGTTTCGAAAGCCATTCACCATGATTTAAGTAAAACATATCATTAAAGCTCTTTTTTAGACATTCAATCAATTTAAATTAATCAGGTTTGAATGCGATTGCATACATGTGTTTGCAGATGTAGTGTATTTTACTCACATTTTCACATAATAAGAGCTGTCATTTGACATGTAATACTGAGTTTTCAATATTTTGATACAATTGACTAGATGCGAGTAGAAATAATCTTGATTTACGTCATTAGATATTCAAAATTCAGTCAAAGTGATGTCATATTTGAATTCTACATGTAAAAGTACATCTAGAAAGATGGTTTCGAAAATTGTTTATCAGCTTTGAAAATTTAATTTTTTTTGAAAATGTGACTTCTTGTTCGGGTTGATTCCCCATAGACCCCATGTTACAAAATCACAAAAAGTGTAATATCTTTTCTTGTATTTGACAAATAAAATTTTCTTTTACTGGACATATTTTAATTTGCATACCTATCAGATGCACAAGGGTTATATGAACATTGAACCACTAAAATAGATGTAATTTAAGTTAAAGGGAACTTTCTCCTATACCCGCCATGTTATCTGACCCGAACGAGCCACCTGGTGGTCAAACTGGTAACTACCTACTCGCATCTGCGTTATTGTTTATTATTTTGCGATAATTACAGCTTTAATCGGGGATAGAGATTTCGACAAAGTACACGTACATTTAGTATAACAAGTCAAAAACCTTTTTTACTTTACATCATAATCCCGGGATCATAATTTACTAGGAACCCAGATGCTAGAGGAAGCAGAAGATAAACTCACATCAAATACGCTAAATGAAATTATTGAAAATATAATTGGTATTAAAATTCTCAATATTTTATTTCAACAAATGTCTTGATCTCAGATATTACTTTCCCATGGATTTAAAAATCATCCCAGAACTAATTATAGGTAACACCATTGTGCACAAGCCGTCTGATTGCATTACTCGCTAAAATAACATCCTTAGAAGTGAACAATCCAAACATCTGATAATAATGACGTAGCTAAAGTCCCCCCTCCCGGTATCCATGCCCACCTTGTTCAGTTGTATCCTTAAAATGTTGAACTACCTTTTGCATACCTTCAGAGATAATCGGTTAATTTCTGAATTTAAAAGAAATTCAATTATACAATGTAGCACGGGGATTTAGAAAAACTGGCTATAGAAATTAATCCATTTAACTATATCAAACGGATTAATATCAGTGAGAACTAAACTCATTTGCAAGAATTGAATAATTAGGGATTAAAGTTTTGTGAATGTATTTGGGAATGGAAAACAAAGCAAGGTCCAATTCAAATGAAATTTTGCTTCACAAAACTGCACCGAAACATTGAAAAGTACACGAAGGCAACCGCATTTGCAATCTATAGTTCTCAAAAAGCAGGGTTATTAAAAGCCAGTTTCAAACTGAAGTTAAAAAGCCGGTTTTTGAAACCCAGTTCCTAAAATTCAAATTAGAATACTATCTTTCTTTTCTATTTAAACTTAAATCAATTTATTATAAACAAACTATCCCGGGCAAACTATGACCAAGTGCATCGGGAATACAAAACTCCTGTAAATGAGTTTTATAAGACAATGAAATCAACGCTGATTGAAACATAAACACTATAAAATGATTTAATCTTCTTTCGATTCCATTACCTGTTATATTTTTTTCTAAATACCGGCTTTACCGGGAGGAATTTAACATGGGGTTTAATTCAAAGGCAAGAATCACTTATTAAGCGGATTAAAAGATGTTGGACGTCGCTCCAGTGATTTATATTTTATGGTTCTGAATTGATGTGCAGATTTTAAATGCAATCGAAAACATGACCAAAAGAGTCTAGACTACCATTTTCTTTGATCATGTGGAATGGAAAACAAAGCAGCGATTTGAAAAAGTAAACAATTGAATTCCTATGCATAATCCATGATTTAATACGAACGGTGGTAACAGGTTGTTAAATTATAATACCTTCTCAGGAAGAATTAGGTTGCATTGACTCTAAAAGTAGAGATAACAAGTTCAGCGGTGTAGCCAGCTTTCCGTCGGGGGGGGGGGCGATCTCCATTAAAAACATGGGTTTGCACAAGTATTCTTTATTAGCAACTTATTCACAACTGCAAGGAAGATCTCTCTTTTCCGGTGTGACTTAAAAGGTGTCGAAAAATCACAATTATAGTAAAAATAGATTATTTCGAAATCCATCCTGTAGTCGCTTATTATACACAGGTAAAGTCATATTCATAAAGAACTACGGTACTTACATTCTTTAGTTGTGTTGTTTTATCATGCTTAATAGAAAAATACGCACAAATAGTCCGTTATTTATTTGTATGCTCAGTTATAAAATGAGCAGAGCAACTTAGAAATAGCTTAATATAGTCAGAAAGAGGCAATTATAATGTGTGACTATATTGCACACTTACAGAGTATTGCGTTTGCATATATTTGAGTATTCTTAACTCCACGTATAATCAGTGCTTATTTGTGCTGTTCTACAAATAAAGAGGAGCAATACTTGAATATACAGAGTGTTCCATATATGCAGCGAGTATTGTCTCTGTACTGTCTCTGTTTATATGTGCTGAGTATATTTGCTGATTACTGCACATTACAAGAGATTCTTACAAATAGACACTGCTTATAACAAAGCAATATTCTCTATTTCATATAGTGACCGGTCCAGCTTTTGACCCGTACCGGTCAATTTTCGTTAGCTGCGTATACCAAGGGTGTTAAAGGTGGAAAGTTTACCTCCTGAATAGAACCTATGGACAGAGACGTTTTATATGTCTCTGCTATGGACAAACTTTCCAATGTCACTATTGTGAAATCTGACAAAAAGGGTAACCATGTAATAACATAGTTGCTTACCCCTTGCAATGGAATAAATCCTTGGAAAGGGAGGCGTCTCCCTTTCAAAGTTTAAGGAATTGGACATTTCTGCTTTATAAATATTCAATAACTTCTACATTTGACCAGATATTTCAATTCTATTTTTCAGAAAAGTATAAAATGAAACATTGGCATCATAATGGGTTCTTCTATTTCAGGAAGCTTTCGATAATTGAGTACTCGAATAAATCTGAATGCATCGGTGTGCATGATTTTTCAAAAAATTCATTTTTTATTTTTTAAACTGTATCCTCTCTCTGGGCCCATTATGTACCTAGGACTACATCCTATATAAATCCCAAAAATTAAGTACAGTGACAATAGTAGTCTCGTTACAACCCCTTGTGAACCCCCTAAAACCTCCCCACAAGTGTGAGAAGTCTGTGTGAGAAGGCGTTTAGTCTAGTAGAGGGGGGATCACAGAGTCTTGGAGCTAGACTATGACAATAGGGATATAAAATGTTTTTGTTATGCCACCACCAGAAGTGCTGACATTTTTTTATAGTCACTAACTTTTTGTGGACGGCATTCGGAATTCGGCGTCTGTATCAATTTGCGTTCGGGCTCAGTAATAATTTGCAATAACATACAAATTGGTGACATTTTGTGAAGTTAATGCCTTGTTTACACCTTATGATGCAAATGTATCATTCATTTATCTAATCTGTGTTGTGAATTTAAACGAATTTACTATGTCGAGATAACCCATCATCCCATGTTTGTTACAGTTGTAAGCTACACTTTTACATGTAATGTCCTGGACAAGTTCTAATGCCTAAGTCACATTTGTTACGGCAACCGTATGGTCTAAATATTTTGTAGCCAAAAGTAATTCTACGACCGCCGTAGAATTTTTACCTTCATATACTATAGCAGTCATATACATATTCTACGGCAGCCGTACGACGTATTTTGATTTTATTTAGGCAGATCACCCCCAAGTTCCAATATGGGCTAAGATGTGATGACACACGGCCGCCATAGGGAGTACCTACGACGCCCGTAGGTTTTTGACAAATACCAAGTCAGACGTACTGTATGGCGGCCGCTATGGCTTGTTAAATTCTCACGGCGACCATAGAAATGAAAAAAGTTATAACTCCGTATCAAAATTACCATGGCGACCTAGTGCCTGTAAATATTCTTGGATACGTCGTACGGTGAAAGTAGATCTTTACTATATATTTCGATTCTGTGGAAACTAGGATCGCCGTAGAGCAAATGTGGCTGAGTCATATGTATAGGCTAGTCTATATTCCTTACTTTTGATTTTATCTTAAACAATAATAAAACTAACAAAAAGGTTAATCTTGCAAGCCTTTCAATTATTAAGTTTTTTCTTCAACACTCATATATATTTTCGAGGATGTTACAGGGTGGCTCAAAAAGTAGAACCCAACAGTTTCATTCAAATATTTGTTCTGTTCTTGGGGTCACCCTGTATAAATTAACTCCCTTACAAACACTAGATAACAAAACCGGTATTCCAACTTCAGACAAAGCACTACAACTTTCCATTTTAAGTACAGTCGTTTATTGTAAAAGTTAGTTTAGGACTATGAATGCCAACAATCAAAATTGAATATGTGATCTACATGCACGTCGCTGTTTTTGTTGCATAGCCAGAACAACCTTGTCATGACCACGATTTTGTCTTCTCCATTATCGTCATAGTCTTCATGTTAGTTTTCATGATGATCAAGAATATTTTCATGATAAACATGATAATTTTCAGGATGATTAATAATCGTCTTCAAGATAGTCATGATAGTTTTCAGGATACTTTTGATACTTTATAATTTTGAGGGTTATCAAAGTCTGTTTAAATTGATCATTTCTGCAGTTGGTTTCGACTTCTCTACATGTTGATTTTCATGATCAAATCCCATATTCTCTTTCCCTCTATTGTAAACTGCACCATTCTCTTGGCCAACACCATGCATTGCCTCGTTCTCTTTCCCAATGTCGCGTTCTTTCTTAAGGTCGTCAGGTTCAGGGTTACCACTAAAAAGTAAAAAAGGAAACAAAAATATTTATACACCCCCTTTAAAAAGTTTGGCAACACAAAATCCCCTATTGCTGTATAAAAGCATAGATGTTTTGGAGATTCTTTTTCAAAAATAATTCATATAAGTTATGAAATTACCAAATAGTGTAAATTGAATGACAAACAACTACACGAGACTCTCCTCTTACGAGACAAGATTTTGGTCTCAAGTTTTTAGTTTTCTACTTTTGGCGAAAAGATATTAGAAAGCCAAATAAAAATGTTTGAGAACATGTTAGTCTCGTACGTGCAGGCGAAGAACCTCTGGCCCTGCCCGAACTGTTCTCCCTCCTCTATGGTTTCAGGGAGCGACATCCCCCTAGTCTCGGGTAGAAATAGCACTAGGACCCCAGAGATTAACGACACGATGCCCAATACAAGATACGGCAATACCCTGTTTACGTCACCCTACAAAAGAAAATAAACGTTTTTGTGCTCAGTGGACAGTAGGGTCACACCATATAATGTAAGGTCCTTGGAAGAAATACCCCCCCCCCTCCCTTGTATCAGATAAAACAGATCCAGTGGAGCATATTTAAAACATATAATAGGGATGAAACTAATCCAAAGTTGTGGGTGGATGTGGAGTTATAACTGTTCTGAATGAAATCATTCAAGCAGGAGGGGGAGTTCAATTTCAATTAGATTTATTCAAGGTTGCCTACCAACAGACCGACATATGCTGAGATGATTCCTGCTACTCTGGCAGCCATAGAGTTGCAGCCCACTCCCGATGCTCTCAGTGGGGTAGGATAGACTTCAGCAGAGTAAATCCATGCCATATCAAATGATGCCGCAATAGCAAGCTTTCCAGCCATTGACAACACAACAATGATAACATTCTGATCTGGAGTGGATATGGAATATGGCATGTAAACAGATGTATAAACCATGTATATAAAGGATGCTTTAGTAATTTGTAAACATGTGAATTCATAGTATCGAGGATATGGTTAACAGGACACTTATACAACAAAACAAACATTTCACTTCATTCTCTTCTTGTAAATACCTTCGCAAGATGCATTCTCACAGGTGATATTCGGCGATATTCCGCCACCACATTGGGCTTCGTAGAATATCAATCGTGAAAGATGCACAGGTATTAGTCAAAGCTAAGGGGCGAAATAAGTTCAAAATAAAGAGGACATGGCAATCAATCTCCCTTTATTTACAGCCATACCGCTGCTGCCATTTTTATATCGGCCCCAAACCTATGTATACGGCATTATGTTTTTCTGTTTTTGAAGACACTATTCCCATTAATAAGGACCCTATCATATAACACACAAGGCCTGGACTTTGGGGCTTTGGGGTTAAAATGCTTACCTACAGGTACCGCTATGGTAGCAATGAGACAGACACCTCCAAACAGCATAGCAAAAGAAAAAGGCAAGCGTCTCCCAATGTACATGAAGCCAGATATTACAAAAACCTGGAATGTAAAGAGAAATGATGTGTTTGGATGTCAATGGATTGAAGATTACTACATATGGACGACTCCATACTTGTATAGAAAATATAACTCGATGGGATAATATGGTTGGTTTGTTCATGGGCTTTCAACTACTAATTGAAAGCCCATGGTTTGTTCTCCAAACTTGTAAAATAGGGGCAGATTGCAGATACCAATGTTCAATATTAGAACTATGAATACGTGAATAATCTTGGAATGAAATGTTTCCATACTCAAATGCAGTAAAAACGGTATTTACATACAGTAAAACCCGTGTGTATTGAACATTTTTTACCAAGAAAAAACGTTCAGTGTTAGTTTGTAGGGTGTCACTACAGTACAGTAAATGCTGAGGAAGTGTGTCAACTAGAGACAGATGTTCATTAAGACAGATTTTACTGTATATGTACCTCGTCTTGGTCCAAGCCCTTTTGACCTCATTCCCTTCACACCACAGTCTTACACCACTCCCCGCAAGTTGAGCGAGGAGTAGAATAACAGCGAGTGAATGTTGATATCGAGGAATGATGAGAATAAGAGCATGTGCAAAAATGTTAACAAACCTTAGCGACGATCTCTACGGCGCCAGATATGAAAAAGTTGATGTAGGGGTTGCCGCCGAGGTTGGATGTGTTCAAGGACAGACCATAGTAGACGAGACTGTTGGCAAACCTGAAAGAGTACCAAATGACAGACCATGCAATGATGCATTCACAAGTGCAAATATAAAGATCATAGACTCATTCTCCTCCTTAAATTCAAATGAAATCAATCTATTTACATCAAAAACTATGAAACAAATACTTCAACAGTTGAAATGACCCAATTAGAGATTTCGCAACTCACTTATAGCATGTTTATTATTTCCTAACATATAACTTATGAAGCGTTTGATTACGTCATCATTCATTGCGCAGCTCTATATGTCCATAAGTGTGATAATCTTATAAATCGTATATCGGTTGTGAAGTACAAATTCTAGTTATTATTTTCCATTAGCCTGTTAAATTGATAACCGACGTTATGCCAACAAGAGAGAGAGAGTTTCAATATGAACAAACGGTTATGAAGACGTACATGATTTGATGTTTGACAAACAACTTAGACATCTTGATCTTACAGACAAACGATGACAGAACATGGATGACATGAATGATTGATGTCATTCAAGGTTACGAATCTCAGACACAACGTACGGTGTTCAACGATGTTTAAGGAGATGTCTATGAGAGATGAATATCCCTTGCAATGGGACTGTAAGCGTAATGTGGATCGATTTAAATGTGAATTTCGGTTTTGCGGATTATTTGCTAATATTTTTTTGTGTATCAAAGATGTTGCGGACCAGCTTTCTATCGGTTGAAATCACTTATTGTGAGGGGGACAATTGATTGTGTCGTGTCTCCTCGAAAAATGTTCAATCATGTTACTTGGATTATTGTACCCGGCGGACGTTAATTTCTGCCGTACCATGATTTATACACTTACCATACATAACAAAGAATTAAGGTTCTTTTCCGTATGTTCGGGGTACTAAACAATGCTATAAAATTTCCCTTGGCCGCCTTTCCTTTCTCAAGATCTATTGTAAAGTTTTCTGGGAGTTTTTCAGTCGTTTTGTTTACTTTGGCGATGGTCTTGATAACCTCCTTTGCGTCCTCTTCTTTGTTGTTTTGCCTTGACCATCTTGGTGACTCGGGTAATAGCCTGGAGGATGAAAACCAGTAGAAGTGGCATTAATTTTAGACCTTACCATAAAACACATACATCTTTCACTGATTTATTACCTTACGCAAAGTAGAAAGGAAATCAATGCAATTTTTAACAGACTAGCATCATTTCGTCCTTCGGCGGGATACCAAGAACAGTGCTAAACTTTATGGGATCTACTGGATCTACGCCGTGCTTTATTAATCACTCTATATCTACACAAGCCAATTCAAGAATCGAAGATTCAACTATAATTGAGAAAGTTATTAAAAGATCTGCTTTTCATTTAGGCCAACGTGCATAATGTTTCACTGATAAACGAACAACAAATTTTTATGTAAATGTTCTATAGGTTCACATTTGAACATTACTCAAGGTCGTACTGCATTGTTGTAGAAAGTAAATGTCATGTAAATGCCATGAGCCTATACCATTTCTCATTCTCTAACACCTCATGTTCACCTACCAAACAAAAATCAACATGATAACTGAAGGGACAGAGATGACCAGCTGTAGTTTACGCCACTCCCGCACCGCATACGCCAGTCCTGATAGTGACACCATCCCCATCGTCCAACCCCCGAAGTAAATGATACCCGTAGCGACCCTGTATTTAGGCCCGACCAGTTCCATCACTGAAATAAGGAAAAGAACGTAATATTCTCCATGTTGAACTTGATGACACTATACGTACATGATATCGTATACTGGGGGCCGTTCTTGGTACAATCGTAACTTACGGCTGTCGTAACGCCATAACTTACATCTGACATGTACTGTGTATCTGTATGTGGCGCCATAACTTACATCTATCATATACGATGTATGTGACGCCATAACTTGTAACATCTATCGTATACGATGTGTGTGACTCCATGGTAACTTACATCTAACATGTATGGTGTATATAACGCCAGAACTTACATTATATTATAACACGGTTTTATACACTACATAACACGCCATAACTTACATATAACGTAAAAGGTCTGTGTGACACCGGTGATGAAAAACGCTGTGAGGAAACGAGACACTGTGTAGGATATGATTTCAGGGTAGAAAGCCGAGCTGATAGAAATAATCATGGTACCCAGTAACGTAATAATGTAAACCTTCTTTCTGCCAAACCTATCAGCTATGAATCCCCAGAATACTGCGCCAATCAGTCGTCCAACAAAGAAAATGGATTGAATTGTCGCTTTGATCCATTTTTGTCCACATACAAGGTCCCACTGCAAGACAGAGTAGTACTTAATAATTCAAAAATAAAAAGTGGCTATTACTTTGCTGGATGTTATTGCAGAAACTTCGTAAACTAATTGTTGTAACAAGATGTTCGAAATTCTTCACCCTGTGAAGTTTCTGTTCTAATGATCCACTGGATATTTATCATTGGGTGCGTTTATAAATACGAATGAAAGAAACACGAATGGAAGTATTGAACTTGGCGCCGAGGAGAAGCATTCTGATACCCATTGGCGAAAAGCAAAAACAAAGTACTGGAAATGGAAGCAAAACAGTTGCGTGTATTAAATGGTCTTGGTTTTGGTCTTACCTCGGTAGCGATTGTGGAAACGTACAGCTCCTTGCTGTAGACAAACGCATCACAATCTCTGGTCTTAGTGGTATTCCAGCCAAGGATATCAAGATAGTTGTCCCCTGTTATACCGGTGTAGTTCCTATCATACACTTTGCAACTACTGAAGAAAGTCCGTCCATCTTTTTCTTCAATCGGGGTAGTCAGGTTCATTCGTAGCCCATGGGACAATCCGAGATTGTCGATTTCTGGGACGGAACACCAATGCCGCGGCTCTCCTGCGATGAACGCAGCGTTCAGATTCTGCCATGCGCTAATGTATTCCAAGAAATGCCCCCCGATTATGATAATTGCCTGATATAGGTTAAATGACCCAGCCAAGAACAATAGTTCATCAAAAAACATCTTAATAATCCAGATAGCTTTTGACTATTGAAAGCATTTCACTTTGAAGCCATATGTTCTTACGGCACTAAAAGACAAATACCTAAATGACAGGGGAACTTGTGAACTGTTGACACTGTCCCTTTCAAAATAAAAAAATATTGAGTACCAGAATAGCTCAAATTTCAATTTAGTTCAATTCGAAAATGATCAATCAATCTGATCTTTCTAATAATATTCATACATTTAAACGAAATAGTCGTACGTTACTTAACATGTAACTACTATTGGGAAGAATTTTTGGAAGGTGTTGTAGATGTTTCAGTAATGCAAATATGAACAGTGCATTACAATCAGTGTTAACTTATCTGGACTTTCGATGAATAATGATTGACGAGACTTTATAAGAAAACAACGGATCTTCAACTTGTATACATAATACATACGTTATATATTAACATACAAGTGGACCATTCAAAGACGCTGACAACTAGCGATAGATAGGCGATATGACACCAATTAGCCTAAAGCATAATGAGAATATGGACTCACCCCAATATTTGTCCAAGGGCATTTCAATTTTTATATAAAAAAGCTCAATTTTGAAAGATGACCACAGTGGAATGTTGAAGACTGTGCTGGGGGTTTCACTCTAATCGTTTAATTTCGTTAATTTTTATATTTATTTATTTTTTATTTTTATATTTTATTTATTTATATTTATTGTTCCATTCAAATTATTTACAAAACATATTATTACAATTTGACGCAGAGCGTATATAAGGTTTAAGGTCATGTAAAAGTAAAATGATTTATTGGTGGAGAATTGGAACATAACAAGTGAGAGTGAAAGGTCTACAGAGAAATCACAATTATAACTAAGAATTTGAAATGATGTGTTTTTTATTAATTCAAATTGCACAAAACTTAGATAATTTTGGAATGCTTTGGCAGGAGCCCATACGAAACTTGTGAACCAAGTTGAAGAGGAGTAGTTGAATGTTGGTATCTAGAATATACGAGTATGCCTACTAATTTTTTGAAATAGCTTAAAGATATGGCCTAAAGATACACCCTATGCTTAGTGAGCGGACCTAATTTCAAGGGTGATGGTAAAGAAAAGGCATGGCGCCCAAACCTGGCCTGTAACTAGGTGCACTGATGCTTTCTTCGCAAATTACATCGCCATTGCTCGTCATCGAAATTCTGATCGCCGAATAGACACTCTAGTAAACATTCATTTTGCATTGGATGTACATAACCAGAGACCGCCTTATTTCGCATATATGAAAAAATAAAACATATCTAGGTACATATATCTTTATATGTGACATCGATCAGGAATTATTGACATATTGACAACATTAGGTTGTGATTTCTTGCGGTAAATTCAAATTGTATCTTTAAACGACTGTTTCATCTTAACTATTCGTTTTATTGGATGTAAAACAAACTGTATGCATAGTTTAACATCTTTCACTTCTAAAACAGCATAAAATATCACAATATCATCACCCTATGCTGCAATAATACGACTTAAAAGATTATGGTACTAATATTTTTTGGTTTTTGGGCGCCCTGCCTAGTCTTTACCATCACCCTTGAAATTAGCTCCGCTCACTAAGCATAGGGTGAAGATACAACACTCTATTTCCGAAATCGCGATTTTTTTATCAGTTGAAATCTGAAGGATGTGACGAGTAACAAATTACACATTCTATTTAGACATAGGCATAAGATCGATGGAAAGATGGCAGCCTGGATTTGAAAAAGATGTATATAGATCTAAATTAAAAACCTCTATGCCATCTTACTATCCAGTTTGCCTAAATTTTAATGAGGCCTAACTTGACATAAATAAAGGAGTGGTATCGATATGGAGAACTGAATTCAACAATGTTTTTCTCTTAAACCAATCATTGAAAACATTCTGTAAAAAAACACGGTATTTTATGTAATGTTGCCTGATTGACAACAATTTAATGCGAAAATTATTTAGAAACATTTTATATAACTGTTTTTGTTAACATTTTTTGTTTTTTTATTGCAATTGTTTTTGCTCCTTTCTACCAATTCTTGAGAATGAAATAAAATGTCTTTCCGAACCTTGTTGGTACAAAATAGCATATACAACATGTTTTTAGACCTCTCAATATTATAGTTATACAAAGGAATTTTTGGTTGATTTTAAAAAAGTAAAAAAATTAAAACAAAATCCCCCCGAAATAGATAAAAATCAAGATCAACCTTTTATTTCATTAACAAGATACTTTTTAAAAAAAATATAATATTTTTATGCCCCCCTCCTGGAAAATGCACCGCACCATTCCCCATCGTGGCGTTATAATTTCGGAACACTCATATTACTCATAAGCCTGGCAGTTCCATATTTTTAATTGGAAAAGTCATGTGCCACTTTGATTTATATTAAGGAATACTTTATATGGCATTTTTGAATTGAAATTACGATTGCACAATTGCTTTTATTCCACTCAGAATCGTTCATAAAATCGCACACAATTTCAGAGCTTTTCCTTTCATGAATCTCAATACGTGCTATTCGTTATTTAGATAATGCTCTGGATCGTACTTTAACTCCTATTATCCTATCGTCACATACCTACATCATGATAAACCATGACATCTCATTTCTTCTCAGCCCTGAGATGTTTCCATCCTCCTAAGCAGGTATCCAGAATCCATACCTCCTTCTTCAGGTGAAACAGAAAGATGCTATGAGTATCAGAATGACATATCTATATAAACTTATTAACATTAGAATTAAAATTTTCTAAGATCATTTCATTGTATCTTTTGTTAAAAGATGTCAACCAGTGTAGTATTATCCGTTTCATTAATACCACCATATCTGAATTGATAGCATAGATTGGGTATATTAATTTGTTCTCGTAAGAATTTAGAATTTGCAGTTGACCACTGGGGCATGGCTTACATATTAACTTAATGGTCTTTGACACGATTTTGTGATATACAAAGTGCCTTAGAGAATACAAGGTTGAAACCTGCTATTATGATTGAAAAAGGAAGTAATGTTTTACAGACGCTAATGTAATTGGATTTGACATGGCCATGGCGTAGTTGAATGGTCAAGAGACAAGGAGGATTGGCTCCCAGAGTGCACCACCGATATTTTGTCCCATATATGGGTATGTCGTAATACAAAATTCGAATTCAAACAGCCGCCATTTTGTTCACTTCAACATTTAAATCGTGAATTTTGGTCTTATTTCCAAACGAAAAATTCCAAAACTCACAAGAAATGATCGAGATATTGGTTCGAATCTTTTGAACTGTTTATTTTGAATTTATAGTCGGTTTTAATTTCAGAAAATAACGACATTTCGACGTTTTCATTGTTGGAAAATATCGAGTTTCGATCCTGGGAGCCAATCCTCCTTGGTCAAGAGACAAGAGGTTCAATGAAAAGTCGTAAAATATTGGGTTTACGTCACTCTTTGGTATAATTGACGACGGTCATCAAAGATTAAAAGGAAACTATTGTCGACATGGGAAATGATGCACAATTATCTTATTAACATTTCGATCTGTGTTTTTATTTACTAATTTGGTACGTTTCTTTGAATTCCAGTCAAGGAGGATTGGCTCCCTAGGACGCAACTCGATATTTCAAATATCAGAATGTCGTTATTTTCTGACATTATAACTGACTATCAATTAATAATCAACAGTCTAAAAGATTCGAACTAATATCTCGATCACTCCACTGTGTTTTGGAAATTGTTTGGAAATAAGACCAAAATGGCGGCTGTTTGAATTCCAATTTTGTAATCACTGAATCACGACATCGAGTTGGAACGCTTTGAAATTCCAGTCTAAGATATTTTATAGTTTCCAGGTACGAATAACAAAATTCAATTTCACACTACCTAAGGTTGTTCAAAAAGATGTCCATAGAAACGAGATGCGTTGGTAAGATGATACTACTTGAACAATCTCAGATTTGATGATATGGTACTACTTTTCAAATACGGTAGTGTTCCACCTTATCACAGTGATACCGTATCTGAAAAGTAGGGCCATTTCACAAATTCTGAGATCTTTCAAGTAATTCTAAAGACCCCTAACAGAGTAATCCTTCAAAAAGGTAGAGCTGAAACAAGTTTATAAGTTGCAGTACATCAAGTACATTATTGTTGATCTTCCTCATCACAAATGAATGAATCCACGAAATTTCAAAATGTCATAATAAAATAAAAAAGTATTGATGTGTTTTGCCCCACTCTGTTTAAAGGAGCTAAAGCATATTCAATCATCTTGACTTTTTGTTTGAACTTTGTAATGAATAAATAGCCTGTCACATAAATTTAATAACCAGTAAATTGGCAGTAATACACTATTTGATTATATTCATTTTGTTGACATCGAGATGGAGATGATTCTCAAAGGTCCATCACGTTTGAGCTCGTTTGTCATCAATTTCCGACGTGTAGTGAATGAGGAAATAGTTCTGATTAGATAAGGTCCAAGTCCCAATTTCTTATTTTAATAATTTTAGATTTTATTTGAAATAACATGCCCAATGTTAAAGTGTACATGAATAAAAAAAACGAGAACTTAAAGTGCAGGGTAAGTTTTGATATTAATATTTGATGACGCGCAACCAATTAGCAGGTTTTTACAAAGGGAACTTCAATCTCGTTTATAGTTATATACTACAGTTGAATGACATACTATATTATTTTTTTCTTTTACCTCATACATATCGATTTTAACCTATATGAAACAGTAAGCCTTAATAAGAACTTTTACTCTCATATGTAACTTTAAGCACACCAGAAGTTTGAGAACATCCTGACGACGGTGGAGTCAGATACCGTTTTCACAAATGGCGGGCATAACCGTCACTTTAACCCTTCAATCACTTGGTTCTCCTAAAAGGAAAGTAATGGATCATTCACATAAAAATAACGCATCACACACATATTAAATACACATACGCCTTTTTAACGACCATGCCATAATGAAAAGATTACTTTAACTAATGATGCAAATCTTTCCCAACAAAAGAAATGTCACTTAATCAGTTCAACTCACAAATGAATAAAAAGTTGCCAGAATTGAAACAAGTAATTTCAATTCGCGATGAAAAGATTCCTCATGACACGCCATGAATAATTTATTCGAGTAATAGTAAGTGAGTTTCACTCAATGGACAATGAAAAATGTCATGAAAGAATGACATAGACTTGATGACT